AAAAAAAAAAAGATTAAAAAAAAAAAAAAACTTTGTCCGACCTACCGACCCTATGGTGAAATTTCATGTTACCGGAAACACACTCTTTTTTGTTTGGCCTTATTAGAACAGGTATTTTCTGCACGAGTCGGAGCCACACCGGCACTCCACTCGAATCCTCTTCTTTGGCGAACTGGGGACACCCGCTAAGGTGAAACTGGAATCCATCTTGGAGCTTTCTGTGTCAACTGGATTAACTGGAAGTAAAGGGAATAAATAAATCACCTTTTTTTCCTCCTCATGTTATCCATCCAGACTAAAATCATTGAAACCCAAGTAAAAGACATTAATTTTACCACCAGTTTAGAATATTTTTTTAAAGTGATAGACCTGTTACACATGGTTTACAAAAAAATATTCTAAAAATGCTGAGTAAAAACCACTCACTTTGCATTTTGTAGTCAAAAGTGAGTTCCTCTCCTGCACGAATGGCTCGTGTTGAAAATAAAGCAATTCTTGGGAGCCTCTCATCAAGGTTGTCAATAAACACATTGAATACCTGCAGGTTTGGGTTACACTACAAAAACAACAAAAGATGTAAATGTGATACAAGTTATATCCACATAACTGTCAAAATGCTGTACAAGGTCACTTAATATACCCACACTGTGGTTGACAAAGTGAGAGACGTTGCCTTGGTGAGCAGCATCCACTGTGTATACATCCTCCACATAGTCCAGATCAAAAAGGTACGTAGAGCCTTCGCGGTCGTATATGTGACCTCGTTTCTCTGCTTCATCTGTCGTGATGATCTGACAGAAACAACACATGACTTATCTGTCGCCTGTGAAACGGCACTTAAGTTCAACTACGCTAGCATCCCGCCGTTCCATAATAACGAAGCTTTATAAAAGTCAAATAAACACAAGAAAGTACCAAAGCAAAGCTGTGGAATTACAATTATTATATACTGTATAAAGAAATGTATGCATCACATACATTTATCATTTGTATTAAAATTGTTCAGCTATCTTGCACATAACTGACCACTGTGCGCTATTATTGCTCTGATTTGGAGGATGTCAGTCCTCTACAATGTACTCTTGTAGTTTTAAGGGGACGTATTATGTCTTTGTATCCAAATCGTTGGGCCTCTGGAGGGTCTTGCAACTAAGTAAATTAAACTTTCATTATACTGCCTCCACACAGTCTCTACACCCATGACTTCATATATTGGCTTGGCAAAGAGCCACCACTTTCAAGCCCCAGTTGGACTGCACTGTCTGAAATTCTTGTTAAAGGGCAATGTGTCCGCTGCAAACGCCACATGTTTGGATCCACCACATTAAAAGATGAGTGCAATTCAACGATTTGGCGATGTAGTGTTTACTGCTATACATGAGGGAATATAGAATCCATGCTGTCTTCTTGGAGGCTCACGTTGACTTTTGCAGTTAATACTTCTTGAGACAAGGGGCTCAAAATGTGCCACCCCTTGCTCCGCTCAAGTTGTCATGGTACCGAAATATGTTTTGATCATTGGCCCAGCAATACATGGAACAGGGTGAGCAATTGTTTGCTTGCATTACTGAATGGCTTGCTCAAAACAGGCTAATTTTAGCAAGACACAATAAAAAGACATAAAATGTGGTGCGTACATTGCACTTTTGATGCTTTTTGGGTTATTTTGACGAAAGAATGTCAAATGCCTCCCCCGAATACAATAAGACATCATTAATGATTACATACACAGCCAGACTTTCTCTTACCTCTCCCACATACTCCATGACAAATGTGTTCTTCTTTATATGCTGCAGCGTGCGAACTCCCCATCCCCGACCGTTGTCCGTCTTAAAGATACCTAGGTCAAACTGAATGCCTTTTTGGACTACTCTGTTTGGGCAGTCTGAGCTACAGAGGCACTGGGAATTACACTCATATATTGGTTTTCCTGGTCTGATCCGGACTTGGCCATGTTCATTGTAAGCAATCCGATGCAATGATGCGCCAGGACAGCATCCGTTCACTGGCTCCTCGAAACAGTTCTTGCACTCACAGCCCACAGCCATTTCATTAAAAACAATGCCAGGGCCTGCTTTGTAGTTGTTGATGTATGTGAAGTTCTTTGGTGGACCTTCAAGGTCGACATCGTTCATGACAAAGATGCGGCCGGGGTGGCTGCAGGTTTGGTTCAACAGAGTCTCCCAGCTCTTCAGTCTCTGACGGAGTTTAGCTTTTTGAACTAGGAATGTTGAAATTTCCTTATCTAGCTTTTTGGGGATGGAATGTCTTTTCTGGCGCTGCAACTCCTGATCCAGGTCCAAGTGGAACTGCTTCATCAGTATGGGGCATTTGAGATGCCTCTTGGGCTCCCAGCTGTTGACTGACTCTGAAAAGCCGCGCCATTTGACCAGGTAAAATTCTTCTTCCTAAAATAAACATCCTATGTCATTTTAGAACTCAAAGCCATAAATTTCAATTACATCTCGGGATAAAATAATGCAATCTATTCCCTTGTGACTTCCAGTAAACAGAAAAAAGGCAGGAGCTTGTTTATTCGTCTACACTGGTACAGCATGTAATACAAACACAATTCCCAGTCAATTTTATGGACATGTATTGTGTAGATTTCATGGTGTAGATCAGGATAGTAGGGCCAGGAATTTTTTTTAAAAATCATGTCTTACTTTTCCCTTAGTTGTTAGGGAGTTGTCAATCCATTTGCACAGCTCACTACATAATGTACAGCACTTTGTATGCATCGATGGCTGTTTGAAAGTGCTCTATAAATACAGTTGAGTTGAGAGTTGAGTTGAATACTGCCACAAAAAAGATTGGAGTATAGTATATTTGACAGCAACTGATTGACCAACAAAATTAACCCACTGTAGTTTTTCTATTTTATGAATGCAATTTTATTTTAACAGTTTGGGCAGGCTTTTTTTGAAACCGTGTTGTTCAATTTGATCCTATGTAAGATTTCATAAGAAAGTTTCATACAAATGATGATGAATAAAAAGGTATCTCACCTTTGTCTTTTTGTAGTCACAGAGAAACTCCACTTCATACTCATTGACATTGGCCCTTGTTATTCCCAATGCTTTACATTTAAGCCCCTCTCGGCGACACACGGCTTCAAGGTCATCCCACGACATCTTGCTGGGGACACTGCAATCTGAAAAAGCAGACGACTTTGCACTCTTACAGTCACACGGCATGTGGGGTTTAGGGAAAAATCTCTCATTGTGGGGGTACAGCGAATCTTTTTTTTTTCTGCACTCTGTCAAAGTAATAAGCAATAGGTCACTGTGACGTCATGATCACCATTTGTCCAAATTCATCCATCCAAAGTGGACATTACTAATGTAATTTTACTTTGAATAATACCATATTTAAGATATGCTGAAGCTGTCTCACTTTCCACTATAAGAGTGACACATAGGTTATAACCAAAAGAAACCAAACAATAGTAACACATTTTGCACAACCAACCAAATATCATATTGTTTATTGTAAAGGATGTACTGTATAGAAAATTAAACGTGGATGTTCTTGGTACAGTGATGAACACAATTGCAATTCTCGTATGTCCGTTTGTCCATTAAAATTATTTCTATTACAAGTTAGGCACAGATAAAATATGTAATGATATTGTTGTACATATTGTACAAACGTGTTCTAAAGATACCGATACCCTTAATTTTTTTAAAGAATAGTCACACAATTCATCAAGTATTCAGGCTCGGTTTCAACAAAAAATGAGGATTTGTAGCAACCGTCTCAACGTGACAAAGATCTGAAACAGTTTTAACTATCGGACTAATGTCTAACAGGTTTGATATGTAATTCGGGAATAACATTTAAACGAATATCTGCTTATTATCTTGCGAATTCAAGGAATCGCGACGAATTTGGTGAACAAAAGTTAAAACGCGTCCGCATGTTTAACTTGGCGGACACTAATCCAGATATGGCAGGGCGCGAGTTTATTTTGTCTGCACAATTTTGGCAACTTCACTTAAACTCGCAACACAAACGAAGAATACCATGACATAACTCAATATTAACGAACATAAAAAAATATCACACATATTTTGAGAAGACTGTCTCAAAGGGAGACTGCGTTTTAACTACAACAATCGCGCGCGGTTTTATCTGCCTCTGGGCCTATCGTGATATTACACCGCGTCGCTGTTGTGGAAATTTAACTTTGGCGTGCATAAAATTCTGTAAAGAAGGAAGCAAGAGATTGTTAAAAGCAACCACACAAAATAGTTTGCCATTCGAAATGCTAGGTTCCCTGAATTACCGTTCGAAATTTCCGCCATGTTTTCCACGCAGCCGCCAAAAATACATAGCCGGGGAAGACTCCACAGCAGAGGATACTGTCTCGACTGCGAATTGGTTGAACGTTTTCTATCAGCCGTCTCATTGGTCCATATGTTGCCCTCTCCTCCTTCTTCCGCCCATTCTTCTTCTTCGTTGGCTGTCTTCTTCTTCTATTGTATGTCTTTTTTTTCCTGGGGCGGTGGCGGGAAAGGTCAATTTAACCTTAATTAAAAAAACAACTCCCCAAACAAACCACTAAAATCAAGGGAGAATAAAATAACAAAAATAACCATAGCCTAAAGTTTCTTAACTAGCTACACAAAATGTACTTGCTTTTGGGGTCGGACAAGCTTGAAGTGTTAATCGAGCTCCGATCCAGTCGTGGGCGCTGTGTAGTTCATAGGCAACAATTCAAGTGCATCTTGGCGCTCGCTCCAAATGTTGCAGTCATCTTGCGATTTGTTTTCATGAGTAAGCAAGAGCCACTGAACAACGAAGACGAGTTGTTCAGACTTCCACCGATATGACCGTTTTTGCTTTGCTGATCTCGATTTTTCTTTGCGATTAAAGTGAACGTAAGGTAAACCGTACACGTGCAAACAAGTTCACGTTATTGAATCAGGTTTGTCGCGCTACTGTAAATACTTTGTAAAAGTCCGAAAGTGGAGTAGTGACATATGAGATAACAAGAATATCTACAGTAAACCAGGCTATTTACAGTTCAAGATCATTAAACTTGATGCACAGTAGAAGTGCTGTTTTTGACGATGTGGGTGTAATAATGACAATACAAGATGCCAATAGCCAATTTTTATTTTATATATATATATATATATA